TGCGTCACCGTTTGCCTCCTCACCAGCCACTGGCGGGGCTGGGCCTGAGCGGGGCACTGTCTGCAGGACTTTCACTGTCATGGAGGCCACCTTCCTGTGAGGGGTGATGAATAAGCAAAGGGGGCCCTCTCCTCCCCAGGCCAGGGCGCACGGCCTGGAGAGTGCAAGGACCGGATTCCAGCCCTGCTTGCCCGCAGTGGCACCTCTGTTCAGGGCATGGCCATGAGGCTGCTCGGGGGGGGCCTTGTCCCCCAGAAGCATGCTTGCCCCACCAGCTTGGGCTCTGGATCCATCTCAGGGCCTCTGGGAGGGCGGCCTGGCCCTGCTAACCCTGCTAGGGGAGCCACAGGGCAAAGGTCAAGCCCTACCAACTCCCCACCCGGCCCCGTCTCCCCCATTTGGCTTCTGGTATGTGTCCAGTTAGGCTCAGGCCCCAGCAGGCGAGTGACAGTCCAGCATAAAGCAGGAGGTGTCAGAAGCCAGGCCGACCCGAGTTCACATCCTGGCTCTGCTGCTCACTACCGATGGGAACCTGGGTCTTGTTCCCCATCCACAGGCGGGGGAGTCCCATCGCCTCCCTCAGACACTCAGGCTGATGCGATGAGGTGACACGGGTACCTGGCATGCAGAGGGCTCTGGGAAATGTCCCGATGACCAGGACAGAGCACTGCCCAGGAAGCCACACCTCTGAGCTTGCACCCTCGGGGCCCGGAGAGAGGAGTCCCCCGACACACACTCCCAGGGCAGCTGTCCTGGGTGCGGACGGGCTGGAGTCCAGCCCTCCCTCCCGGCCCTCCCCAGACCTTGTTAAACTGTCCTTCACAGCCCTCTCCGCCCTGCCTTGTTCCCCAAATAGCTCTTGGGAGGCAGCTGTCCCCACTGCCAGGCCAGGTTCCATGCAGAAATGTGAGCTGTCCCCACAGGCCATGCCTGGAGCCAGGCCCAAGGTCAGCGGCGGGCCCTCCTCCCTCTGCCCACCCTTCCTTCTCACCCCTCCCTCCAGACCCAGGTTTCTCTTGGCTCCAGCTCCATCCAACGGCCTGCCAAGGGCATCCCCCACCGGCCTCTACCGCCGGTCTCCATAGCTGTCTCAGTGGTCTCAGTGGAAGGCCTGGGTGGGGCGCAAGGCCAGGTCTCTAATCTCAGTCTTTGTCTGACTCTGTGCAACCGTGAGCAGCCTCCGGTCCTTTCTGGTCCTCGCTCAGGAAGGCCCTTTCCAGGAACTGGTGTGTGTCAGCTGGGCGGTTCTGCCTCGGTTTCCTCGTCTACAGGAGAGGACAGTGGCACCCATGGGCAGGGCTGTGGGGGTAGCACGCTGACCCACGCACATGGCGAGCTCCGTGTGCGCAGGGCTGTCCTCGTCCTCTCACACGAGGTCTGGGGCGACAGTGCCTCCGTTTCACCCCGGGCCTCATGGCTCTTCTACGCTGCCCCTGCCCACCACTGTCCCTGACCCAGCTGACCTCTGTAAAGACAGTGCATGATCCGACTGCGAGTCGGGCAGAGAGAGGAAACTGGCATGTCATGAACACCCACTGCGTGCCGGCCTCCAGCTGAGGACTTGATTCACGTGAGCTCACGCGTTCCTCAGTTACTGGTGACGCGCTGAGGCCCAGAGGGGTGCGGGAGACCCCTAAGCCACAGCAGGAGCACAGGCAGACTAGGATTCGAACTCACACCTGAAGTCCACGCCCCCGAAATCTACGGATGTGGGGTCTGAACTTTCTCCAATTCTGTTTGCTTTGGGTTTGCAGCTTACCTGGGGAAGGATGCTGGCTTCGATTCAGAGATCTTTAAAAGTACGTGGCCTGGGGAGGGCAGCCAGCCGTGGGGAGGAGGGGAGGGAGCAGCCAGGCTGTGGTCCCACAGTGCCTTTAGAAGACAGCTACCCAGGGCCCACCGGAGGCGCCCGCTGGGTCTGCCTGTAAACCACTGGCCCGTGCAGGCTCCTAGCAGCCCCGAAGGTGCTCAGAGCTGCTCCCAGCTGCTGAGCATTCCTCCAAACAAAGCTGGGGCAGAAACACAGAAGCCAGAAAGACAGACGGACTTGGCCTTCAGATATTTGCTATTCTGCCGTGTCCAGTCCCCGCCTAGAAAGGTCTCTTCTTCTCTATGCCCCAAAGCCAGGCTCTCCCTCTCCTCCTCCAACCACGTGGGAAATGTGGCTCACGACCCAGAGGAGGTGGGATGCCCCGAAGGGGTCCTGCCCCACCTAAACCCCAGCCAGTGGGCTGCCTCGGAATCCGTCTCCCCAAATCTCTGCTCCCACCCAGGGTCAATATTTGGGCCCAGCGTGGAATTCACGTCGGTGCTGAAGCCCGTCTTTGCCCGAGAGAAGGAGCCCTTCTCCCTGTCCTGCTTACTCTCCGATGATGTGCTAGAAGCTGAGAACATCCAGTGGTTCCGGGACGGTGAGGACCCCAGCCTGGCCCCCAGCCTTCAGAGGTGCCCTGAGCCCTGCAGCTCAGCTCAGAGCCAGAAGGCCAGCCCCGGGACCCCCACCCCACCCCGTGGAGAGAGACCAGCTGTGGCCCTCCACGCCCAGCCTAGACGAGCCCTGGGTGTGAAGAGGTGGGGGGAGTAGAAACCAGGCCAGGTGGGGTCAGACCAAGTACCCCCGGCGTGGTCACCCGGCATCTGTGGGTGCCAGCCCCTGTGTGGCAGGGGTGGGCACTGACGGGCATGAACGTAGGGAACTGCAGGGCCGGGAGGGGGAGAGAGCCGTCAGCCTACGGTGCTGCTGCCTGTGCACAGCCTGCTCAGGCCCCGGTGTGGCCCTTTGCCTGAGTGAGCGAGGCGTGACGACCAGGAGGCAAGGGGGCCCCGGGACTGCCACCGTGATGGGTACCTGGGCTCTCCAGAACTGGGGGTGGGTGTGAGCAAACAGCTGTGCAGGCTAGGGGACTCTGGGGCTCGTGGGCAAGGCTGCGGACGGCTGGGCAGCTAGAGCGGGAAGAGGGGCCCAGCGAGGGAAGAGGGGGGCATGGACCTCCCGCCCCGCTGTGACCAGGCCTGCAGGCAAAGGAGACTGCCTCCTCCTGACCTGGGCCCACCCAGCGACACCCGCGGGAGCCCAGGTCCCCTCCAGCACCCTGACTTCACGTCCAGGGAGGCTGCGTGCTGGGGGCAGGCGAGGGGTGGGGCCCGAGAAGCAGCTGGGATAACAAGGCTGGGGGCCCTCTTGAACCGTGGACCTTCCAGAATGGAGCTGCGGACTGGAGGGAGGAAAGGTGGCCCAATGCGTGGGCTGGGCAGGGCCCACTCCCTGGCCCAGAGGCCCCTTCTAGCCCGCACCCACCTGCAGAGGGGCTACCTGCTGAGCCCCTGTCACTGACCTCCTCCCCCACTGAGACCCGCCCCTCTGCAGAGCCCCTCTCACTGACCTCCTCGCCCACTGAGACCCCAGCTCTCTGGATGAGACCCTACCCCTCTGCTGAGCCCCAGACCCCTCCTAGAGCCCCCATCACCTTCAGTGAGCCCCCTTATCTGAGTCCCCTAATCCTCCGGCCCACCTTACCTCCTCACAGAGCCCCCACCTCCTGCCCTTGCCCACGGCCATCTCCCCAACCTCACTCCCTGTGAGTCCCCGACCTGCTCAGGTGAGGTCAGCTGCCACCTGGGCAAAGCCCTGGACCCCCAGACTCCTGCTGCTTCCCAGCCAAGGCCAGAACCCTCCCAAGCTCACACCGGACCGCCCCTTCCCTCCTGCAGGAAGGCCGTTGAGGTCCTCCCAGCGCCGGCAGGTCCTCTACGCCGACCGCCAGGCAGCCGTGAAGGTGTTCTGTGCCTACAAGGAAGACGAGGGGCTCTACACGGTCCAGGTGCCCTCCCCCTTGGGGCCGCGGGAGCAGAGCACCTACGTGTTCGTGAGAGGTGAGGGAGGGGTCAGGAGCAGGGCAGGCAGCTGGAGCCCGGGGACGGGGATGCGCCCTTGGTTTGCTGGCGGACTTTGGGCACGTCCCCTGCTCTCTGGGGCTCTGTTTCTCTGCTATAAAAGCGAGGTGTTGGGTTAGAGTCTAAGAACCCCATGGCATCCTGAGACCCACCAGGACACAGCCCCAGTCAGACCTGGTCGGAGCTGGAGAAGGAGGGCTGAGTAGGGCTGGATGAGATCGGCCCCCTGGTCTGAACCCCATCTGGGCGGGGGTCACTGCCCTGGCTGGGTGACCTTGGGCAAGCCTTGTGCTTCTGGAAGCCCGTGTTCCATCTACGAGTGGGGGCTTGCTCTGGGGCTCGCGGACTCTATGCCAGCTCTTCAGGTGCTTGGTGTGACGTGGCCGGCCGCTAATAAATGGTACTGCCGCCCCTCCCCCAGGTGCTGCTGTTTCTCAGCCCCTGGTCGTCAGTTTTGAAATCAAGGCCCTGGGGGGCCAGCAGGTGGTGTGGTGGTTAAGGCTCTGGACACTCCCACATGGCCGACCATGGTTCGAGTCCTGGACCTGGTGGCTCGCTTTCTCCCTTTCCCTCTCTCTCTCTCTCTGTGTCTCTGGTCAAGTTAAAAATAAATAAATGAATAAATAAGATTTTAAAAACATCAAGGCCCTGACAGGTTAAGGAGAGGAGCTGGGCAGCGGGGTGGGGTGTGCCAGATCACAGCCAGAGCTTCCTCCCTCACTCGGGTTTCAGACGCTGCGGCAGAGATGCCAGGGGCCCCAGGCTCCCCGCTGGATGTCCGATGCCTGGATGTGAACCGCGACTGCCTCCTCCTGACCTGGACCCCACCCAGCGACACCCGCGGCAGCCCCATTACCGCCTACTCCATCGAGCGGTGAGTGGGTCTCTGGGTGGCAGAGCCTCCAGGGTGGAATCGTGCTGGATTGTGGAGGCCCCAGGAAGAAGGAGGCCTATGTCTAGTCTCAGCCTCAAAACAGGGAGGGGAGAGGCTGCAGTGGAATTCAGGGACAGCGGGAGGGAGTCGACGCCTCTGAGTCTCACGCCGGCACTGGGAGTCTCCCGGGGGTCAGCCATGGCCCTCTGGTCCTCCATGCTGACCCCAGCCTGGGAGGGGCCGCACGGTAGGCGCTCGCCCTGAGCACACGTGAACTTGGTGGCTCTTCTCCCTGAATGGCAGGCAGGGGGGACACCTGGCAGGAGAACGTGAGCAGGAAGGGGGAGCAGGCCAGGCTCGGACCTCAGACCTTCTGCACACCCCGCCCACCATGGCCGACCACCCTCCCTCAGGATTTGGGGCAAGCACACGCCCATGCCTGGCATGCCTTTCAAGCTGCTGGGTCTGGGACTCGACCCGTGGTCAGCCATATGGGATCCAGCCACCTTAACGCCCACGCCCCTGGCTGGCCTCGAGGTTACCTAGCGGGGCTCTGCTGGGCTGTGCTAAGGGGTGCTTTAGCCCAGTTCGTCCTCACAGCAACCCCTGTAGAAGGGGGGCTGTCTGCTGCCCCATTCCACAGCCAGGAGACCATGGTGCATGGGGTGATGCCGGCCCAAAGTCACACTGCTCACTGGGGTGGAGGCAGAACTGGGGTCCACGTGCTACCTCTGCCTCATCCCATTGGGAACAGGAGCTGGCACGGTGGCACTCCGTGGGGACAATGGTACCAAGAGGGTGCAGAGTGCCCGGGCGTGGAGGGTCGCTCTGGAGTGCTCGCTGATGTAGGGAGGGGACAACCCTCGGGTGAAATCCCAGCTGCCGGGTGTGAGCTGTGTGACCTCAGGCAAGTGCTGTAGCTCTCTGAGGCTCGGGTGCCCTGCGTGGAGAGTGCAGGCGGCCACGCCTCGCCCCAGGACTGCTGGGAGGACGCGGCTCGCTGTAACGCTCCAGAGACACAGAGGCATGGCTTCTCTGATGAGCATCGCAGCGGGGACGTGGGGAGGCCAGGCTCAGGCTGTGGCCAGGCTTCTAAGCTGGGCGGGCGGCCGGGTGGAGGTCCAGCGGGAAGGCGTGTGTCCCCAGCTGGTGCTGAGGGCCGGTGCCTGTCCCCACAGGTGCGAGGGTGACTCCGAGGACTGGGTGCCTTGCCACGTGGCCCCTGGGGGGACCTGCCGGTGCCCCATCCAAGGCCTGGTCGAGGGCCAGAGCTACCGGTTCCGGGTCAGAGCCATCAGCAGGGCAGGTAGCAGCCTCCCGTCCAAGGCCTCGGCAGCGGTTGTCACGGGCGACCGTGACGCAGCCCAGAGGAGGACAGGTGGGTGCGGCCACAGGGAAAGCCCAGGGCGGCAGTCAGGGCAGGCTCGCTCAGGGGCCGGGTGCCACAGACCATTGCCAAGTGCCACTTCAACGAAAGACAGCCCAGCCCTCAGGAATCTCTGGCCTGATGGAGCTCTAACCCTGTCCTCAGGTTCCTAGTCTGACGGGGGACACAGCCCAGCCCTCGGGACCCCTAGTCTGATGGGGGAGACACGGCCCAGTCCTCAGCTCCCCTAGTCTGATGGGGAAGGCACGGCCCAGCCCTGGGGACCCCTGGTCCGATGGGGAGGCATAATCGGTCCACAAGATCCTGTGGCCTACGGCCTAAGGCCCAGCCAGTCAGTGGAAGAACTCACACCTGTCCGTAGTGGAGGCTCGTCGGAGAGAACCACAGCAGCTTCTTAAGACACCTTCTTAATCCGAAGGAAGCACGCAGGCCTCCCTCAAGAGGAGAGGTGGGCACGGCCTCTCTGCCCCCTCAGGAGTCCCCTGGGCTTGGGTTTGCAAGAGCTCCACCTGCCTGGGGGCCCACCCACCAAGTCACTCCTCTCTATCCGCATCTGTCCCAGGAGTCAGAGCGTCTCCCAGGGCCTGCCGGCCATGCTCCGCTGGGCTCCTGAGAAAGCCGAGGCCCAGAGAGCACTGCCTGGGGCCACGCGCCCGGGTCTGGCGGGGCAGAACTCGGAGCAGAGCCAGGCCGGGCCTGCCCGACCCCTGGTGACAGCCCCGTGTGCTCCGTTCTCCTCCTAGAGATCCCCTTTGGCCTGGGAAGAAAGATCGCTGTGAGCACAGACGATTTTGAAGGTGTGTGAGCCTCCCCAACGCTTTGCTGGAGACGCGGGGATGTAACAGGCAGAGCAAAAGCCGTCATGCACGGGGTGCTGGGAGGTGGGAGGGACGGTTGGGGGGCAGGTGCTTGGGGTCATGGTGGCCCACCGGGCTGGGGTCCTTGGGGAGGCCCAGCATGCCTCTGGGAAGGCGCCTGAGGCCCGGGTTCTGACCCAGTCATCCCCGGCCCTGCTGGGTCACCTGCCACAAAGTCCTGCCCTTCTCTGGGCCCAGTTCCCTTGCGTAGGGAGTGAGGGGCTGAGATTAGGAGTCTCTGAGGGCCTGCCTATCTCTGCCCCAATGTCTCTGATCCCAGACGCTGTGACCATCCCTTCCCCACCAACCAACGTCCACGCCAGTGAGATCCGAGAGACCTACGTGATTCTGGGCTGGGAAGAGCCACGCCCCCGGGGCAGAGCCCCACTGACGTACTCCCTGGAGAAGGTACAAGATCGGAGGGTCCAGCCTGAGAACTAGACATGCCGGGGGACCCAGGTGCACGGGACGGGCTGAGAGACCCAGGCAGCCTTCCTGGGGAGGCTTTCAGAGAACAGCAGGGGGTGCTCAGTGGGAGTGGCCCAATACAGAGGGGGCAGGGGGGGCTCAGTGGGAGTGCCCAGTACAGAGGGGATAGCAGGGGGGTCAGTGGGAGTGGCCCAGTACAGAGGGGGCAGGAGGGGCTCAGTGGGAGTGCCCCAGTACAGAGGTGACTTGGGGGCCCGCCCACCAAGTCCCAGTACAGAGGAGACAGTGGGGGGCTCAGTGGGAGTGCCCCAGTACAGAGGGGACAGCAAGGGGGGGGGTGCTCAGTGGGAGTGCCCCAGTACAGAGGGGACAGTGGCGGGCTCAGTAGGAGTGCCCCAGTACAGAGGGGACAGCAAGTGGGGGGGCTCAGAGGGAGTGCCCCAGTACAGAGGGGACAGTGGGGAGGGGAGAGGGGGGGGCTCAGTGGGAGTGGCCCAGTACAGAAGGGGCAGTGAAGGGCTCAGTGAGAGTGGCCCAGTACAGAGGGGACAGTGGGGGGCTCAGTGAGAGTGGCCCAGTACAGGGGGGCAGAGGGGAGCTCAGCAGGAGTGCCCCAGTACAGAGGGGGCCTGGGGAAAAACATTTGGAGGAGGGATACGAAGACAGCATTGTTGAGACAGGGAGGTAGTGTTGTTACATTT